GAGCCATTGGTAATTTGAATAATTTTCAAATCATGCAGGCAGCCTGATTCTGTGTACACTAACTCAAATGTAAATGCTAAGGAATTAAATTGGGCTTTGTGTCTGAATGGGTGGAGGACAACCCAACCTCACATCATTTTCCTTGGAATGAATTCCCAATAGGTTGATTAAAACTTCCTTTCAAGCAGACCTTATGAAATTATTTTATTATAACTCAGTTTGGGCCTAGGTAATTAGAAAGACTAGAATATGTTTGCCTATATGAGTTCCTTAGATGTTTACCATCATCTGGAGCAGTGGTTCCCAACCTTTGGTCCGTGGACCACCAGTAGTCCGCAAGAACAAAAATATGGCCTGCAGCCTCACCATTACTACATCTGTGCTTCGAAACCACATGGCAACAAGAGCAACTGCTCTTGCAAAACCATCTTATAGTGCCAAGGCAATGGGAATGTCGGGAGAGGAAAGGCTGACTACCCACGAAAGATTACCACATGAGCTCTAGATTAATAAATATGGTTTTCTATGGGCAAGCAGATGGCAACTACTTGATGGCATATGTTCTATTACAGAAACTAGAGTTGTTGTGGTATATCCAATGTAATTTTCTGAATCAGCACCCCAAATCATAGAATCACAAGAATCATAGAGTTGGAAGAGACCAACCCCCTGCCAAGAAGCAGAAATATTTCATTCAAAGCACACCCAACACATGGCCATCCAGCCTCTGTTTAAAAGCCTCCAAAGAAGGAGCCTCCACCGTATCTAAAGTTGACCAAAAACTGATACATAACTCTTTTGGTACTAATATTGGAGAATGATTTCTCTTTTTTTAAAAAAGGTTGGAAATCACTGACCTGGATACTCTTCTCTCTGTCCCACTACCTTCCCAGTATCCTTTGATGGGTAAAAGGGAGAGGGCCATATTTGAGAACCCCTTCCTAGTGAGGCCAGGATGACCCCATTCATGCTCTACTTTTCTTCAGCCATTTATTTTTTTTAATGCTGTCAGGGCTGGGGCTGGGATTGGGATGGTTTTTTTAATGCTGGGCAGTGCTGTTTTAGATTTTGCTTTGGCTTTTTAATGAATTTTAACTTAATTAAGTGCTTAATTGCTTTTTAAATACAGTAATTCTTACATTCACACCTTTATTAATTACTTTGCATGCCAGATGACGCCTGTATTTGCAGGGAATGCATTCCAAAGTTTTGCATGGATACCTAAAACTATAGTGAACTCTATTGAATGGATGACTTCTAGTAGAGACATACCATAGTCTTGTGCTGGAAGACCTAGGAAATGCTTACAGAGGATACCTCTCTAGGCATTGCTGTCCTCCAACGCAACTCAATGATTAACTTTTCATGGATGTATACCATATACAAACTGTCCCCAAGTTACAAGCATCCGACTTACAAACTATTCATAGTTAAGAACAGGGCTGAGACAACAGGAAGTGAGAGAAATCGTGGAAGGGAAATTCACTCCTGAAAGTTTTCATGGGGAAAAGGTGTCTCCACTGAAGTTTTCTCACCAATCCTTGTTTCCACAGTACCTGTTCTGACTTACATACACATTCAACTTAAAAACAAACCTATAAACCTATTTTGTTTGTAACTTCGGAACTACCTCTAATGGAAAGGAGGAGCCGTTATGGACCTCAAAATCGAACTGCAAAGGCTCTGGTATAAACCTGTTTAGGTGGTCCCAGTGGTAACTGGCACCCTGGGTGCCGTGCCAAAAGATCTCAGCCGGTATTTGGAAACAATAAACATTGACAAAATCACAATCTGTCAACTGCAAAAGGCCACCTTACTTGGATCTGTGCACATCATTAAAAAATACATCACACAGTCCTAGACGCTTGGGAAGTGTTTGACTTGTGATTTTGTGATACGAAATCCAACATATAGATCTTATTTGCTGTGGCATACTGTGGTTTGTGTCAGTAAAATGATAAATTGGGAGGAATAGCCAATACTCCAGAAGACAGGAGCAGAATTCAAAACGATCTTAAGAGAGATGGCCAGAACTAACAAAATGAAGTTCAACAGGGACAAATGCAAGATACTCCACTTAGGCAGAAAAAAATGAAATGCAAAGATACAGAATGGGGGACGCTTGTCTCGGGAGCAGTACGTGTGAAAAAGATATTGCAGTCCTCATGGATAACAAGTAAAACATGAGCCAACAATGTGATGCGGCGGCAAAAAAAGCCAACGGGATTTTGGCCTGCATCAATAGAAGCATAGTGTCTAGACCAGGGGTCCTCAAACTAAGACCCAAGGGCCAGATACGGCCCTCCAAGGTCATTTACTTGGCCCTTGCTCAGGGTCATTCTAAGTCTGAAACGACTTGAAAGCACACAACAACAACAATCCTATCTCATCAGCCAAAGGCAGGCCCACACTTCCCATTGAAATACTAATAAGTTTATATTTGTTAAAATTGTTCTTCATTTTAATTATTGTATTGCTTTTAAGTGTTTTTTTTTTTTTTGCACTACAAATAAGATATGTGCAGTGTGCATAGGAATTCATTCATATATTTTTTTTGTCAAATTATAATCCGGCCCTTCAACAGTTTGAGAGATTGTGACCTGGCCCTCTGTTTAAAAAGTTTGGGGACCCCTGGTCTAGATCCAGGGAAGTCATGCTACCCATGCTCTATTCCGCCTTGGTTAGACCACACCTGGAATATTGTGTCCAATTCTGGCCACCACAATTCAAGAGAGATATTGACAAGCTGGAATGTGTCCAGAGGAGGGCGACTAAAATGAGCAAGGGTCTGGAGAACAATTCCTATGAGGAGTGGCTTAAGGAGCTGGGCATGTTTAGCCTGAAGAAGAGAAGGCCGCTCTGAGTCCCCTTTGTGGGGAGAAGGGCGGGATATAAATATATGAAATAAATAAATAAATAAATAAATAAATAAGGCTGAGAGGAGATATAGCCATGTATAAATAGTGAGTTGTTGTAGGTTTTTCCGGGTTATATGGCCATGAACTAGGGCAGGGGTCCACAAACTTGTTAAACAGAGGGCCAGATCACAGTCCCTCAAACTGTTGGAGGGCCGGATTATAATTTGAAAAAAACACAGGAATGAATTCCTATGAACACTGCACATATCTTATTTGTAGTGCAAAAAACACTTTAAAACAATACAATAATTTAAATGAAGAACAATTTTAACAAATACAAAGGTGTTAGTATTTCAAAGGGAAGTGTGGGCCTGCTTTTGGCTGATGAGATAGGATTGTTGTGGTTGTTGTGTGCTTTCAAGTCATTTCAGACTTAGGTTGACCCTGAGCGAGGGCCGGGTAAATGACCTTGGAGGGCCGTATTCGGCCCCCGGGCCTTAGTTTGAGGACCCCTGAACTAGGGGCATACTCTCCTGACGTTTTGCCTGCATCTATGGCAAGTATCCTCAGAGGTAGTGAGGTCACTACCTCAAACTACCTAACTACCTCTGAGGATGCTCACTACCTCTACGTGGGGTTGCCTTTGAAGACGGCTCGGAAGCTCCAGCTAGTCCAGCGTTCGGCAGCCATGATACTAACAGGAGCGGAGTGCAGGGAGCATACAACTCCTTTGCTGCACCAGCTCCACTGGCTGCCGATTTGCTACTGGGCTCAATTCAAAGTGCTGATGTTGGCATATAAAGCCCTAAACGGTTCTGGCCCAAGCTACCTATCTGAACGTATCTCTGCCTATGAACCCACCAGGACTCTAAGATCTTCTGGGGAGGCCCTGCTCTCGATCCCGCCTGCATCACAAGCACGGCTGGCGGGGACAAGGGACAGGGCCTTCTCTGTGGTGGCCCCTCGGCTGTGGAACGCCCTTCCCATGGACATTAGATCAGCCCCTTCGCTAATGGTGTTTCGAAGAAAACTAAAAACCTGGCTGTTTGAACAGGCATTCGGATAAATAGTGCAATGAACACGATGAATATAGGAAACGGAATTTGGATGACGAATTGAATCACGATTTTAGTTACGAGACGTTAATGTGCTGTTATTGAGATGTCATTAGTTTGTATTTTATACTGTTAATGGTTTTAATATTGTATGTTGTTGGATGTCTTTTGCTCTTGTTGTGAACCGCGTTGAGTCGCCTACGGGCTGAGAAACTGCGGTATACAAGCAAAGTAAATAAATAAATAAATAAATAAAATAATAAATAATAGATGCAGGCAAAACGTCAGGAGAAAATGCCTCTAGAACATGGCCATATAACCCGGAAAAACCTACAACAACCCAGTGATTCCGGTCATGAAAGCCTTCGACAATACATGTATAAATATGTGAGAGGAGAAGGGAGTAAGCTTTTTTTCTGCTGCCCTGGAGACTAGGATGCAATGGAACAATGGCTTCAAACTACAAGAAAGGAGATCCCATCTGAACATGAGGAAGAACTTCCTGACTGTGAGAGCTGTTCAGCAGTGGAACTCTCTGCCCCAGCATGTGGGAGAGGCTCCTTCTTTGGAAGCTTTTAAACAGAGGCTGGATGGCCATCTGTCGGGGGTGCTTTGAATGTAATTTTCCTGCTTCTTGGCAGAATGGGGTTCCAACTCTATGATTCTATGAATTTTTTGTTTCTTGTCCGCCTCTCCTCATGACTTGAGGCGGATTACAGAATAATTCAAACACATAAGCATTGCAAAAACACAACTGATACACATATTAAAACGTATTCCTATAAAACCTAGATATTAAAACCCATTTCTATAGAATACATATTAAAATACACCAATGGTGTCAAGCAGCATCCATTCTTCGCTGCAGGGAAATCTACACAACAGAATTTCCACGACGTGGCCTCTCTTTTTTCCCGCCCTTTCCTTCCCTTTGGTAACCATTGCGCAAAAGCGCTTTCCCAAGAGAGCGGGGAGAAACCCCAGAGCGCGCGCTTCCTCCTCTTTCCATATAAGGAAAGGGCTCATTTGCATCCCGGGGCGGGGCTATGCAAATTAGCCGGGCTCCCTGATAGGCTCCGGCGCGGGCTTGGTTTCGGGCAGTAGGGCTCGAGGTTAGAGTCGAGGCGAGTTGCTTTCTGGACTTATACCGCGATGATACCGCTCGGGCGGGAGTAACCCGGCTTTTGAGGACGTTTCGCGGATAAGTTGCCTTTTGGAAGATGGTCCCCGAAAGGAACGAAGTGACTTGGAGTCCAACAGGTAAAAACCTGCTGGTTTTCATGTGATCTTAACGATTTGTGATAGTTTTGATGTGTTTCCAAAGTCCCTCATATCATATAGCAAAGTTATATCATATTTTATAAATAGTTGTTATAGTGATATATGTTAATACTATAAGTATGTGAGTGTGTATATATATATAGGAATATATATAAATATATATTTTTATTATATCTAAATAATAAAATATAATATTTATATATATATTTTTATATATGTACACACACACATATATTTTATATAATTTTTCCTATGTTTTGAAACAAAGGTACTTTTAGTTACCACTTTCCATTCCTTTCCTACCTACAGCACTTTTGGGATGCTTTGTATTATAAGTCTTGAATTGTGTTGTTTTGAGTGTTGAGTTCCCTTTAAGAGAAGGAAGCAGGAGACTAAATCATCATCATCTCTGAGAACCTTGCTTCTTCCTCTTTGGGATTCTGTGTACATCTACACTCTGGAATTAATGCAGTTTGGCACCACTTGGACTGCCAGGGGTGGTTTCCTTTTAGCCTCCTCTGCCAAAGAGGATTGGGGCCTCGCCAAACAATCAGGGCCAGCTAACACCTCCCAACAAATCATTCCCTCAGGCAGGAAGCAGCCAGGCTTTGAAGCTACAAGGCTGTTCAGTGCTAATCAAGCTGGCAATTCACATTTGCCACAAGCAGACGAGAGTTCTTTCTCCCACCCTTGACATTCCAGATATATAATAATAATAATAATAATAATAATAATAATAATAATAATAGGTTCTTGTGGGTTTTTTCATTCTACAGATATATAAACCCTTTTTCCTAGTTCCAACAGACCTCACTACCTCTGAGGATGCTTGCCATAGATGCAGGCAAAACGTCAGGAGAAATGCCTCTAGAACATGGCCCTATAGCCCGAAAAAACCCACAAGAACCTAGTGATTCCAGCCATGAAAGCCTTCGACAATACAATAATAATAATAATGTTGAAGGCTTTCATGGCCAGAATCACTGGGTTGTTGTAGATTTTCTCAGGCTGTATGGCCATGGTCTACAGGTATTCTCTCCTGACGTTTCGCCTGCGTCTATGGCAAGCATCCTCAGAGGTAGTGGGGTCTGTCAACCGAAAACAACCCAATAATAATAATAATAATAATAATAATAATAATAATATTTTTGTCATGTCAGGAGTGACTTGAGAAACTGCAAGTCGCTTCTGGTGTGAGAGAATTGGCTGTCTGCAAGGACGTTACCCAGGGGACGCCCGGATGTTTTATCATCCTTGTGGGAGGCTTTTCTCATGCCCCCCCATGAGGAGCTGGAGCTGACAGAGGGAGCTCATCTGCGCTCTCCCTGGATTCGAACCTGCGACCTGTCGGTCTTCAGTCCTGGCAGCACAGGGGTTTAACTCACTGCGCCACCGGGGGCTCCATAATAATAATAATAATAATAATAATCTTTATATACCGCTCTATCTTATCAAATAAACTCATAGCATTGATTCCTTCCATAGGATTGAGCCAAACTGGGGTCAAACTGCAATAATTCTGCAGTGTGGATGCTCCCTTTTATTGAGACACTTAGGGCCCTTCCACACAGCCATATATCCCATAATAGCAAAGCAGGAAACTCCACAATATCTGCTCTGATCGGGGCTGAGTCTATACTGCCACTGCTTTGAACGGGGTTATCTGGGTCTATACTGCCATATAGCCCAGTTCAAAGCAGATAATGTGGGATTTCTACTCAGCTATGTGGAAGAAGCCTAAGAGATCAAAGCAGATAATGTGGGATTTCTATTCAGCCTAAGAGATCAAGCAATGCCCAATGTATAGTATTGGTGTTTGTGCTCAGCTTCTCTGCTTTGAAAGATTGGCTGTTGTTTTGTCACATACCGGGATTCTTCCTCCTTGCTTTTAGCTAAATATTTTGGGTGCCGAGTTACAGCGCCGGAGGCAAACAAAACAAACAAGCAAGGTGCATCTGCACAATAGAATGAATGCAATGTGACACCACAATGGCTTCCATGACTCTATACCAGGCCTGGGCAAACTTGGGCCCTCCAAGTGTTTTGGACTTCAACTCCCACAATTCCTAACAGCCGGTAGGCTGTTAGGAGTTGTGGGAGTTGAAGTCCAAAACACCTGGAGGGCCCAAGTTTGCCCAGGCCTGCTCTATACTGTGGGTTCCTAGGATGTAGGCTTCTCATCAAACCTTCTGCAGCGCTTTTTAGTCGAGGCATCTGAAGCCCTTGTGAAACTGCAAATTCCAGGGTTCCATAGCACTGAGCCATGGCAGTTAAAGCAGTGCCAAAGTGCACCAATTCTACAGTGTAGATGCACCCCTAGTCACATCGTATTTGGGCTTGGTAGAGTCTGCTTCTACTGCAGTGGTGCTCAACCTGTGGGACCCCAAGTGTTTTGGCCTACAACTCCCAGAAATCCCAGCCAGCTTACCAGCTGTTAGGATTTCTGGAAAGTCAAAACATCTGAGGACCCACAGGTTGAGATATTCTAATGTATGCAGGGAAAATGTATGATGTATGTATGATGGGAAAAGGAACTGAGTTCTAGCTCTTCCAGTCATTGTCTGGTATGATGAAATTAGAATAAACCTTAGGAAGGAGACAATTAAAGCGTTTGGCTAGTTGAGGTTCAATAAACAGGATTGTCACCGCAGTTATTTGCCCATTCTTTCTAAAGTTTCCATCTACTGCGGTGGCGTAGTGGGTTAAACCCCTGTGCCGGCAGGACTGAAGACCGACAGGTCACAGATTCAACTCTGGGGAGAGCGCGGATGAGCTCCCTCGGTCAGCTCCAGCTCCTCATGTTGGGACATATCTACACTGTAAAATTAAAGCAGTTTGACACTCCGTTAACTTTCATGGCTTAGGAGAGAGAAGGTTAGGATATGAGAGAAGCTTCCCACAAGAATGGTAAAATATCAAAACATCCGGGCGTCTCCTGGGTAGCATCCTTGTAGACAGCCAATTTTCTCACACCAGAAGCGACTTGCAATTTCTCAAGTCACTCTTGATGCGACAAAAAAAAAATCCACACTGTAAAATTAAATCAGTTTGACACTCTGTTAACTTCCATGGTTTAATGCTATGGAATCTGAGGAGTTGTAGTTTTACATGGTGTGTAGCCTTCGCACCACTTTCTAGAATTCCCTACCCTTGACCATTTATTACACTATATGTAACAACATTTGGGGGGGGGGGAAATCTGTTTCTGGTTTGAAAGTGCTATTTCCTGTTTAATTGTGCGGTGCTTACATTGAAAGTAGCTGCAATACTCCAGAAACTTTATTTTTGTGGCTGCCACAAAGTATATTGAATTGATTGAGACTCTATGTCAGGGGTCCTCACAGTCCCTCAAACTGTTGGAGGGGTAGATTATAATTTGAAAAAATGAATTCCTATGCACACTGCACATATCTTATTTGTAGTGCAAAAAACACTTTAGCACAATACAATAATGAAAATGAAGAACAATTTTAACAGATATAAACTTATTAGTATTTCAGTGGGAAGTGTGGGCCTGCTTTTGGCTAATGAGATAGGGTTGTTGTTGTTGTTGTGTGCTTTCGTTTCAGACTTAGGTTGACCCTGAGCGAGGGCCGGTTAAATGACCTTGGAGGGCGGTATCTGGCCCCCAGGCCTTAGTTTGAGGACCCGTGCTCTATGAGATAGTCATTGAAAAACTATAACAAAATGTGCAGCAGGATGTCCTGCAAAACAAAGTTTTTGCAGTTTATTTTTTTTTAAATCATGCTTTTGTGAGAGAATTAATTAGGAAATTAGTTTTATAACCCAGGAACAAAAATTGTGTTACATAGTATTATTAAAGTGGTATCAAACTATATTCTTTCTTTAAGATATAGAAACCCCAGTTCTCCATGGCATCTAGTCACCTTGGGTGTAACTACTTGATAGGTAGGGATCAGAGTACTGTATGCAACCAGGGGCTGGTGAAAGGGCACAACACCTAGTAAGTAAGCAAGCAAGCAAGTAGCAGAGTCAGAAAGGTCTTTGCAGCTGAAGCATCCTTCCCTGGCATTTGACTCTCTGCTGCCCCCTGCGGAGAGGAAAGTGTATGTGCACAAACGAGTCCAAAGTTGGCAACGATTGTTTCCCATTCACCAGTTTTTGGTTTTTTTGGTCGTGTCAGGAGTGACTTGAGAAACTGCAAGTCGCTTCTGGTGTGAGAAAATTGGCCGTCTACAAGGACGTTGCCCAGGGGTCGCCCGGGTGTTTTTGATGTTTTTGCCATCCTTGTGGGAGGCTTCTCTCATGTCCCTGCTTGAGGAGCTGGAGCTGACAGAGAGAGCTCATCTGTGCTCATATGACAAATATGACCTAATTGATAGTTATATATTATTGTTAGGTTTCATATGTATCTGAGGCATTAAATTTTGCCATAAATATGTTGGAAACTGCTTTGAGTCCCCCTCTGATGTGAGAAAATCAGGATACAAGTGAAGTAATTAATAAATCTATATAAATAAAAATGTAATGTTCGTTTGTGGGATTAACATAACTCAAAAGCCACTGGATGAACTGACACCAAATATGGACACAATACACCTATCAGGCCAAGCAATGACCATCACTCATAAAAACACTGAAAAACACAGCAGAAGAGACATAAAAAGCCAAAAACAAAAAAAAATACAACACATGCACAAAACCACACAAACACACACACACACATATATATGCGCAAGGACACATATACACACACACATATATATATATGCATATACACAAATATATACACACACAAAGCACCTATGAACAGACTGGGCCGCAGCAACGCATGGCAGAGGAAGGCTAGTAAATAATAAATACATAGTGGATCAGAGGTGCTTTTTCCAGTTCCTTCCTCCAAAATATAGTCTTTTTCAGAAGCCCCCAGTGGTGCAGTGGGTTAAACCCATGTTCCGGCAAGAGTTGCAGGTTCGAATCCGCGGAGAGCGCAGATGAGCTCCCTCTGTCAGCTCCAGCTCCTCATGTGAGGACATGAGAGAAGCCTCCTACAAGGATAGTAAAAACATCAAAAATATCTGGGAAATGTCCTTGCAGATGGCCAATTCTCTCACACTAGAAGCGACTTGCAGTTTCTCAAGTCACTCCTGACCAAAAAAAAAACAAAAAAAAACTGGAAGTGCCTTTAAGGTATCTCATTCAAATTCAAAGAGGGATTCCAAGTCATCAAGTGCCCATTTACAAACAATAAACTCCCTTAATTGAACCATCAACCAAGCATCCTGGAACTAATTAACAGATAATCTGCCGAACAAAAGGATGCTGCTATAGGAAAAATGGCTGATGGAGAGGTTTCTGTGACATGGATTGTAAAGTATAGTAAAGGCATTACTTGCGTCATTTCCCTCTTCCTTTTTCTTGGAAGATCTCTCTCACTTTTAATTCCCTAATTTCAGCAGATAATGTTTTGAGCCTCTTTATGCTTTGAAAAGGAGGGAATCACCAGGTAAACTCCTATCTGTAGGGCTATAAAAGCCAGGGAAGGTAGTCAGTGGTGTTATAGTTTTTTACTTTGGTGATCTCTGCAAGCACAGATGTGGCAGGTTCTCAATCGGGGTTGTTGTAAGTTTTCTGAGCTGTTCCAGAAGCATGCTCTCCTGACATTTCGCCCACATATATGGCAGGCATCCTCAGAGGTTGTGAGGTCTTCAGCAATATAGGTTCTCAATCCTTTGCTTTATAATCCCCTCTGCTGCATTATCTGCTGGAAAGGTCCAATACCTTGGCCAGCTGTGCAACAATAGGTGCAGTCTTCTCTATTGGGTTGTTGTAGGTTTTTTCGGGATATATGGCCATGTTCTAGAGGCATTCTCTCCTGATGTTTCACCTGCATCTATGGCAAGCATCCTCAGAGGTAGTAGAGCTCACTACCTCTGAGGATGCTTGCCATAGATGCAGGCGAAACGTCAGGAGAGAATGCCTCTAGAACATGGCCATAGAGCCCAAAAAAACCTACAACAACCCAGTGATTCCAGCCATGAAAGCCTTCGACAATACAGTCTTCTCTATTGTTGAATAATCTTTTCTAGAGAAAGCTTCCCCTGTTTACCTTTGCCTTGCTTCCCAGATGTTAACAGTAAAGGAACGGCCATTCATGAAAAGGATGACTAAAAAAGAATGCCTCTCCATTCACAAATGTCAACATTACGCCCAGATATCAGGAGTCCAGAGTCCTCCCCTCCTTCCCTCTTTCTACCTTCATATCTTACCTGGGCCAAGAGCTGTTTAACTTAAAGACACTGTGTTGAATTTTCGTAGTTGCTAGGCTGGGGAAGCCAGTTCCCGTAGGGTGGATTTGTCCGTTTCTGTGAGTCATTGTAAGGATTGGAGTGGCTTTGCCATGACACATACTTCTGGCAGGAGACATGGGAATTTAACCAAAGCCTATCTTCTGCTTGTTTTGCTTAGCAGTCCACTCCTTCAGTGCTCTGTAAACTCTCTGATTTGGGCAGCTAGCGATGTTTTTCCCCCTCTAATTGATCAAGAACTAGCACTTTCTTTGTGCCCATTAACTTTTCAAGAACTATATTTCCCCTTGGAAGTTTTGGCCTGCTGATGAAACAGCTATGGTCTAGGTATGATTGTACCTGGGTCATGATAGGAAGTTGGAGCTTTGAAAGCCCTCAAGTGCCTTACTGGAAATCCAATCTATTTATAATGTTGTTTTTGTGTCTCTTATAGGGAAAGACAAAGAATCCTTTGAGGCTCTGTACAAGAGAGGGACTCTGCTGGGCAAAGGTGGCTTTGGGACAGTCTACGCTGGACACAGGATCGCTGATGGACTTCAGGTGAGACTGGTGTGGAGAGCAACTAGGGTTGCTTCATTGATGGCATGCCAACAGATATTAAGTTCATGATTGTGTGGAGTAAAGGAAATAAAAAACCAAGGACTTCCTGTATCCCTGTTGTAATCTGGAAAGTTCTTCCTTTGATGAACTACCACTCTCAGAATCTGCCCCCCAACCAACTCTGAGAAAAATTAACTTCTTGATGCTCTGGTTGTAATGTGCTTGAAGAATGTGGCGATAATAAGCAATGAAGGTTTGTAGTAGTAGTAGTAGTAGTAGTAGTAGTAGTAGTAGTAGTAATCCGCCCTGAGTTCGCTGCGGGGTGAGGGCGGAATATAAATACTATAAATAAATAAATAGTAATAATAATAATAATAACAACAACAACAACAACAAATGCCATCAGAGCCAGAATTGAAAAGTCAACAACAGATCCCAAATGTAGACTCTGCAAGAAAGCAGATGAAACAATAGATCACATCCTCAGCTGCTGCAAGAAGATCGCGCAGACAGACTACAAGCAGAAGCACAACACCATTGCTCAGATGATTCATTGGAACTTGTGCCACAAATACCATCTGCCTGCGACAAAGAACTGGTGGGATCACAAGCCGAGAAAGGTTACAGAAAATGAACACGTCAAACTACTCCGGGACTTCCAAATTCAGGCTGACAGAGTTTTGGAGCACAATACTGAAGTTGAAGGCCAAAATATCTGGGGACCCACAGGTTGAGAACCACTGGCATAGAGTCTCAAATAAGTAAAGAAGGAATGTTGGCAGGTGCTTCTTAAGTTAAAGAGTCACAAAGACTGTGCCTGTCATGAGGAATTGGTAGTATTCCTCATAACTTTCTGGCACATGAATACATTGTATGTTTAGTGAGGAAGAACTCTGTAGAACTTCAGTAGTGACAGAGATTCAGTCTCTGACCTTGCTGCTCTTCTTGGGGGTGAAGAGAGGTATCAATGGTTTGACTTAGGCTCTTACCTCTGTTTGTTTTCCTCCACAGGTTGCGATCAAACATGTTGCCAGGAACAAGGTCTCAGAGTGGGCAAAGCTGGTGAGTTTCAAGGGGACCTTCTCATGGCTACTCAAATACACTCCACTTCCAGCAAAATCTAGAGCGCCATAAATTTTACCCCAACCCATGCTTTCGAGGAAACCGTGACATTTACTTACCAGTTTAAGCTCATAGTATAGATTTTTTGTTTCTTTTGGAGTCAGGGGTAGGCATCTTCTGTCCCTACAGATTTTGAACTATAAACCCCACCCATCTTGAGAGATAATGGAATCTCTCTCTGTGTGTTTCTGTCACCTGTAGGCATATGGGAACCTAGTCGATTTCACAGTGTTTCCTTAGACAGGCAAAGGAAAGAACTGGTTGTGCCAGTTCCTATAAGATACATCATATAGCACCTGGTATTCATTGGTAGTCTCCTATTCAAGTACTGAGAAAGGTTGACCCTACTTAGCATCCAGGTTCAGACAAGATCTGGTGTCTTTAGGGCAGTGGTTCTCAACCTGTGGGTCCCCAGGTGTTTTGGCCTACAACTCCCAGAAGTCCCAGCCAGTTTACCCGCTGTTAGGATTTATGGGAGTTGAAGGCCAAAACATCTGGGGGCCCACAGGTTGAGAACTACTGCTTTAGGGTTTTTAGTAGTCCAGCTGTATCTGGAGGGCACATATGTCTCATCCTTGGTTGCTTATCCAAAATGAGCAACCATTACCTTCCAGTTGTTTTGAACCAAAACACCATAGCCTCTTGCCAGTGGCTAGACTAGAAAGGGCTGATCGGAATTGTAGTCCAAAACTAGCTAGAGCAGTGGTTCTCAACCTGTGGGTCCCCAGGTGTTTTGGCCTTCAACTCCCAGAAATCCCAACCAGTTTACCAGCTGTTAGGGTTTCTGGGAGTTGAAGGCCAAAACATCTAGGGACCCACAGGTTGAGAACCACTGAGTTAGAGGACCACATGCTCCCCATCCATCCTGGAAGGACCACTGAATGGAGTAGGCTTTTAGGACTTTAATTTTTTTCATCCTTGTGCTGATTTTTTCCCCACCTTCTTTTTTGCAGCCTAACGGGATGGTGGCACCTATGGAGGTGGCGCTGATGAAGCTTGTGTGCTCGGGAGCCGGGCACCGTGGCGTGATTCGGCTCTTGGACTGGTATGAGGCTCCTGAAGGTTTCTTCCTGGTGCTGGAGAGGCCCGAGCATTGCCAGGACCTCTTTGACTACGTGACTGAGCAAGGGCCCCTCCCTGAGAAGCTATGCCGGCAGTTTTTCCGCCAGGTGGTGGAAGCGGTCTGCCACTGCCATGCCCAGGGGGTGGTCCATCGGGACATCAAGGACGAGAACATCCTGGTGGACTTGCGCACCGGCAACATCAAGCTGATCGACTTTGGTTCTGGAGCCATCCTGAGGGATTCTGTCTACACAGACTTTGATGGTAGGTTGCAAGAATTGCTGGCTGCTTTTTTGGTGTGTGTAAAAGCAATATAAAACTGAGTCTAAGGGCCCTTGCACACAGAATATCAAGGCAGAAAATCCCACAATATCTGCTTTGAACTGAGATATCTGAGTACTGTATATACTCGATTATAAGCCTAGTTTTTCAGCCCCCTGAAAAAACTCCACTCGGCTTATACTTGAGCCAAGGTTGTTTATTATTTTACTCTGTTATTAGTATTATTTTATTATATTTATGTTATTAGTCTATTATTATTTTATTACATTTATTATGTACTCTATTGTTATTGATATTATTACATTGCATTATTTTACTCTTATTTTTATTACATTTATTATTTTAGTCTATTTGTTATTGTTATTAAATTTATTATTTTGCTCTCTATTATTATTGGAAGTATACATAAGCACATTTAGATTGAAGGAGGCTAGAATAATGGTTTCATCAGAGCTGGACGGTCTTACATTACAGTTTTATATAAATATTCAAAAACATTTAACCTACTGGTACCTCAATTAATGTAATTTTATTGGTATCTAGTTTTATTTTGAAATTGACCAGTAGCTGCTGCATTTCCAACCCTCGGCTTATATTTGAGTCAATACATTTTCCCAGTTTTTGTGGTAAAATTAGGTGCCTCGTCTTATATTCGGGTCGGCTTATACTCGAGTATATACGGTATATACTTTTTTACTTGTAAACCGCTCTGAGTCTTCTTCGGGGTGAGAAGGGCGGCATATAAATGTCGTAAATAAAATAATAATAATAATAATAAATAATCCTTCCACACAGCCATATAACCCAGAATAGCAAGGCAGAAAATCCCACAATATCTGCTTTGAATTGGGTTATCTGAGTCCACACTGCCATATATTCCAGTTCAAAGCAGATAATGTGGGATTTTATTCAGCTGTGTGGAAGAGGCCGAAGAAGTAGAAGAAAAATCACTGTGTGCGTATGTATAGTTATATATCTGTATTTATGAGGCAAGACTATCAGGATGTTCTCTTGGCACAATTTGTGTAGAAAGGCTTTGCTTGTGTATTCCTCTAAAGCTGAGAGAGTGTGACTTGCCTAATCTCACCCAGGGGATTTTCATGTCTGAGTGCGGTTTTGAACCCTGTTTACAAGAGTCATCGCACAGCACTCAAGCCATTACACAGTGCTGGATCTATATTTCTATATAGATATGTTGTTGTGTTGTTTACTTTCAAGTTGTGTCTGACTTATGCTGAGCCTGTCATGGGGTTTTCTAGAACTGAGAGTATGAGGCACTCAAAATCACAACGCATTGCTGAACTGGAATTCAGACCCTGTTCTCCAGAGTCATAGTTCACTATGCCACACTGGCTCTATATCCATAACTAGATAGATGTCTAGTAACCTAATTAGGTAGAGATCATTTTGATGCTGCTTCCAGGACCCTCTTATTCATATTCCTATAGCTTTTAACTTATTTTTCCAAAATAAATACAATTATGCCACCGTTCTAACGATTTTTAAAAACTCAACAACTTGACTTTCCCAGAAGATTAATTGTAAAACGAAATCTAATTTGTGCTTAATGTTGTTCCATTCATTTAAAGATGACACTTCTTGCTTTTCCCCGAATTTTGCTAGCAATTTTCAAGCTGAGGTTAACATCTGCAGCTACCCTTAAGTGCTCCTAATCACTTTAGGATGTTTAATACTAGAACAATTGAATTTGAAAAGGGATAATTTATATCGCTCCTTCCAATTTTCTGAATCCATTTTTAATATACTGACTCATATCCTATGGACTAGTCCGAACTAGAGTGTACCCTTTGACTCGTTGCTAAAGGGTGAGTCAATACTTATGGAAATCTCGTTGATTAAGTGAAGCAATAAGTTGAATTCATGCCCATTTCTAAATTTCCTGGTTCTAATTTGGATGCTGCCTTTAGTGCTTTATTTTTAGGAAATTCACTTAAGTTGCATACCTTCCAAATGTCCTCATACGGAGAAAATAGTATTAATTCTGTGCATTGTTGAAGGCTTTCATGGCTGGAATCACTGGGTTGTTGTAGGTTTTTCGGGCTAGAAAATGCCTCTAGAACATGGCTGTGCTGGTACAGCTGTACCAGAAACCTAAATTTCCTTTCTATGCATGTATTTGTTTTGGCCATGCATTTTGCAGTTAGGTGGTTCCTTCCAGGCTGCAGCCATAGGGCTAGCCACCTGCCTATCATCGTTAAGTTCTTTAGTTTCGCCCCTTTCCCCAGGGTTCTGGGTGGGAAAAGAAAGTTTTTAGTTCAGTCTTACAGTTTAGAAGCTCAGTTACAGGACGTGAGAGCTTTCCCCACCTGTAGAGAAGCTCCACTTCTTACAAAGCTCTGGGGGAAAATAGTCCCAAAGCCTCCAGGGAAGACAGCCCTAAAGCTTCTGAAGAAAACAGTTTTATAGATCCAAAGGTCTCCAGCTGGAAAATTTTCAAAGTTTTGGCCAGTAAGGTTTACTCGGGTACCCAAAAAGCAAATTGGAACTGGGAGTAAGGCCCCACGCCAGCCAGCCTAAAAACAGATTGTCCAGAGAGGGATCGGAGGGTTTTCCTTGTAAAAGAAAGAAATAGTTCACGAAGCAAACTGCCTGTCCTTTGTGGGCAAGTTAAGAAGAATTTGTATGTTTTGTTGAAGATCTAAGCAATAATAAAGAACTTTGTTAAACTTTCCAAGTTTCTAAAGACTTTGTTTAGGAAAATCCATAGGGCCTCTCAGCCGAGGCACCCTGGCATCCCGCTGGGCACAAAGAACACATCCTGTTTTAAAAGACAATTGCTATAGGCCCAGCACATGTCAGCACTATGGCCATATAGTCTGAAAAACCTACAGCAACCTACAACAACCCAGTATTAATTCTGTCACCTCCCTTTCTCAGTTGCTTTTATAATTTTTTTTCTCCCATGTTTCCCTTTGTCCTTTTGCTGTCTGAATTCAAGGTACAAAATAGCTTGCAAGCAGTTGATGTGCTGCAGTAGGAGGAAAATAAAAGCTCACTCTTTCCTATAATTCAGGCAAAAGCAAACTGCTGCAGCCTCTCCTAGTTTGTATGACAGGGGTCCTCAAACGAAGGCCCGGGGACCGGATGCGGCTCTCCAAGGTCATTTACCCGGCCCTCGCTAAGGGTCAACCTAAATCTGAAACAGCTTGAAAGCACACCACAACAACAACAATCCTATTTCATCAACCAAAAGCAGGCCCACACTTCCTATTGAAATACTAATAAGTTTATATTTGTTAAAATTGTTCTTCATTTTAATTATTGTACTGTTTTTAAGTGTCTTTTGCATTACAAATAAGTTATGTGCAGTGTGCATAGGAATTCATTCATGTTTTTTTTTTCCAAATTATAATCTGACCCTCCAACAGTTTGAGGGACTGTGACCTGGCCCTCTGTTTAAAAAGTTTGAGGACCCCTGCTGTATGATCTTTTTCACATTTTCCATATTTTATCTGTGTTGTGTTGAAGGATATGAAATTCATATCCAGGCCTGTAAAAACTGTGGCCCTCCCAAAATCTCTAGCCAGTTCCAATGGTCATGATTTCTGGGAGATGAAGTCCAAAACACCTGGAGGGCCTCAGGTTGTTTAGACCTGCCCTAAATTGACTGCATACATTAACACAAAGTTGTATGTGCAGAATCGTCCTTCTATTAAGACGTTGCCTGATGGCAGAAGTAACCTGTTTGTTCTTGCCTGCCTTTCTTTCAGGAACACGTGTGTACAGTCCTCCTGAGTGGGTGGAAACCCAGCAGTACCATGCTCTTCCGGCCACGGTCTGGTCCCTGGGCATCCTCCTCTATGATATGGTGTGTGGCGACATCCCCTTTGAAAGGGATGAGGACATTCTGGCTGCCAGTGTGGAGTTCCGCACCCCGGTCTCTACTGGTGAGTGTTGGGTGGTGGTTTCTTGCTGTTTTTCGGCATGGATCAGTACAGTTTTAAATCAGGGGAGGGATGACCCCTGACATTAGACAGAATGAAGGAGCTGCCTCATGCAACATACGTTCTGAGTGCGAAATGAAGATTGCAAGATCTTGTGTAATTATTATTTTATGCAAAGGGACTTTTTGCAGCTTAAAGACTTGCTGATAATGAAGTTGGAACCATAAACTTTTGTAGACTTAAGGTATAAGGTAAAGGTAAAGGTTTTCCCCTGACATTAAGTCCAGTTGTGTCCAACTCTGGGTGTGGTGCTCATCTAGAGAGGCCCTGTTCGTGCTCCCATCTCCTTCGCAGGCGCGATTGGTGGGGACGAGGGAGAGGGCCTTCTCAGTGGTGGCCCCCCGACTTTGGAACTCACTTCCCAAGGACATCAGGCATGCCCCAACTCTGGCAGTCTTTAGGAAGAGCCTGAAAACGTGGCTGTTCCAGTGTGCCTTCCCAGAATAAGGAAAATTCTCAGCAATATGCCCTCAGAATGCACTTTACTACTGATTTAGGATGGACTGCGTTCCCCTCATCTCTCTTTGAAAACCCTATACCAGTTATATCCTACCTTGTTCATGCCCAGAACCTATTTTTTAATTTTTAAACTATTACATTTGGCCTGGCAATAGGTTTTTTAATCCTTGTGTGTTACTGTTTACTGTTTATTGTTTATATGTGATTTATATTAATTGTATTGTATTTATTGCTTTTGTTTATTGATGTACTGTTGGGCCTGGCCTCATGTAAGCCGCTCCAAGTCCCTTGGGGAGATGGTGGCGGGGTATAAATAAAGTTTTATTATTATTTTTTAATTATTATTATCTCCATTTCTAAGCCAAAGAGCCAGCGTTGTCCGTAGACATTTCCAAGGTCATGTGACCGGCATGACTGCATGGAGCATAAGGCATACCTACATTGTAAAAGTAACGTAGTTTGACATCACTTTAACTGCCATGGCTCAATGCTATGGGATCATGACAGAAAAGATGAAAGAACTTGTGATTACAACTCCTGTGATTCCATAGCACTGAGTCATGGCAGTTAGTGGATGCGAAACTACATTTTCTATAGTGTAGATCAGGGGTTCTCAAAGTGTGCTCCGCCGAGTTTTTTTTTTTTTTTTACTGTGTTAATTAATTCACACAAACACACTCTATCCTTCTGCCACTGCCCTGGCCCATGCCTGATATATATACATGATATCTAATATAATATGTAAACATTATATTAGATATCATGTGTGTGTGTGTGTATATATATATATATATATTTATATATCTTGTATATATATTTCTTGGGGCTCCACAAGAAACTTTTGCTCCTTTATTTGTTATTGTGAGGAATAGGAGAAGACTCTTCCATGGGTGTTAAAATCATTTGGCAGGATCTGTGTACCTTGACCTGTCTTGGAGAATAGGAAGAAAAGACCCAAGTTTACATAGAATCATAGCACCGGAAAAGGCCATAAGGGCCATTCAGTCCAACCTCCTGCCATGTTTTGGCTAGGCTAGGCTTCGACTGGGAAATCTAAATTCAGTCAAGTGGTGCTTATCTCTATTTCTAAGCCAAAGAGCCGGCGTTGTCCATAGACATCTCCAAGGTCATGTGGCCGGCATGACTGCATGGAGAGCTGTTACCTTCCCGCCGGAGCGGTATTTATTTATTTACTTCATTTGTATACCGCTTTTCTCAGCCCTTAGCGACTCAAAGCAGTTAACAACAGCAAAAATTCAATGCTAAACATCATAAAAACAGTTAAGGGACAGTTAAAACAGTAACATAGTAAACAATTAAGCATCAATATAACAACTCATTAGCATCTCATCAGTAGAATCAAGATCCAATCTCATCATCCATTATTCCGTATTCCTATATTCATTACACTGCCTAATCAAATGCCTGCTTGAGCAAGCAGGTCTTCACTTTCCTCCGAAATGCCAGTAGGGAGGGAACCGATCTAATATCTGTAAGAAGGGCATTCCACAGCCGAGGGGCCACCGCTGAGAAGGCCCTGTCTCTCGTCCCCGCCAGTCGTGGCTGTGTTGCAGGCGGGACCGAGAGCAGGGCCTCCCCAGATGGTCATAATGTCCTAGCTGGTTCATAGGAGGAGATGCATTTGGACAGGTAAGTTGGGCCAGAACCGTTTACCTATTGATCTACTCACATTTGCATGTTTTTGAATTGCTAGGTTGGCAGGAGCTGGGCCTAACAGTAGGAGTTGATAGTGAGTTGATTTTATAGAGATAGACATTTGTCTTGCAGTAAAAATGGCTGTAATGCCAATTCTTGATTATAGTTGGGATTGATACACTAGAGATAGGTTTTAGTAGCAAAGATGCCTGGCTTCCTTCTGACTCTGTCAATTCTTCTTTCCTAGACTGCCAAGATCTCATCCGATGGTGCTTGGCCCTGGAGCCTTCCACGCGTCCCACACTGGAGCAGGTGCTCTTGCACAAGTGGCTAAAACTGGACCCCCTTCTTCAAACCGAAGAACTGAAGACGTCTACATCTCTCAGGGCCACACTTTGCAACAGAAACAATGGAGAGACCTAACTCTTCTTTTCTTGCCTTCTCCCCCCCATGGGACGGATCGGTGCTAATGGGACTGTTGCTCACTGAACCTCAGGCAGACAAACTTGGTTACAGGCCGAGAAAAAACGTTAACCTGGTTCTACAGGTTTTTAAAACAAACTGAATGAATTAATGAGGGAAACAGGGCTGTGGAAAGGAATTGTAATATTCCAACTCAGAAGTCTTGCTCTCAGCAGCCCAAATGATGTTTGACCAGACATCTCCATAAATGTAAATACTTGTGTATTGTTATTCCCCTAACCTATGGGGAGAAATGGACTTCAGGCATGGTTTTCTACTGGCCCTCAATAATTATTTTCATTCCCTCTGGGACTTACCAGAGTCTTATATGTGTGTGTTTATGTATTTTTGGGTGTGTGTGTGTCCTTTTATTTTATTTTTTAAGGAAACATTTGCGCAAACAAGTTTTGTCCAACAGTGAAATCTATTTAATAAATTTAAAAATCATTTTGTAAAATGTCTCCATTCCTAAATCTCTACGGTCGAAGAACCTTTTTGTCTCAGTTCACTATCTCTGTTCCTCGATATACTGAAGGTGGGGGGAAATGGAAAGCGAGTTCTGGTAGCACAATGGCCAAGAGGGAAGGAGGATGTAAATACATAGGCCCCGGTCTTGTACACTGGATCTCTCACTGCAAATATTTTGTGGTTCCTGCAATTCTTGGTGCCCACTTTCTTGGCAACTGGAATGTATAATGAGTGTTTCCAATCTATGGACCATTGTTTTGTTTACCATATTGGTTGACAAATTTTAGTTAGAAACTAGCTGTCCCCTGCCACGCATTGCTGTGGCCCACATGGGGGTTCTGTGTGGGAGGTTTGGCCCAATTCTATCATTGGTAGGATTCAGAATGCTCTGTGATTGTAGGTGAACTATAAATCCCAGCAACTACAACTCCCAAATGTCAAGATTCTGTTTTCTCCAAACTCCACCAGTGTTCACATTTGGGCATATTGAGTATTTGTAGAGTTTGGTCCAGATCCATCATTGTTTGAGTCCACAGTGATCTCTGGATGTAGGTGAACTACAACTCCCAAACTCAAGGTCAATGCCCACCAAACCATTCCGGTATTTTCTGTTGGTCATGGGAGTTCTGTGCACCAAGTTTGGTTCAATTCCATAGCTGGTGGGGTTCAGAATGCTCTTTGTTTACAAGCTAACTATAAATCCCAGCAACTACAACTCCAAAATGACAAAATCATTTTTTTTGAGTGAAGGACATACATTGAGTTGTAAGGTGTCTTGTGTCCAAATTCGGTGTCAATTCGTCCAGTGATTTTTGAATTCTGTTAATCCCACAAACGAACATTACATTTTTATTTATATTAGAAATAAAAGTTGGTTCTTTCTGCATAGCCTGAAGCAGCCATTGCTATGCCCACTATTCCTAGTGATTTATTTTTTTCCCAACAGCTCTAAGTCTATCACTTCACTTTGTAAAATTGTAGTTTCATCTCCAGTCGTTCTGTCATCCTTTCATCTCTTTTATATAGTTCTTCTGTGTATTGTTTCCATCGTATTTGCATTTCTTCATGGCCATGTAATGCATTTATGTGGCATTGAATTGTTGCTTTTTGTAAGGCTGCTCTGAGTCCCTTTCGAGGTGGAAAGGATGGGGTATAAATACAGTAAATAAATTTCCCAGCTGATTGTAGAGCAGTTTCACTATTCCTTTAAATTTCTCTTTGATTTTTCAGATCTTGTGGAATAGATCTTTTTTTCTTTCTTTTTATTCTCTTTTTCTATTTCTCTGCATTGGTTATTATAGTACTTTGCATTCAGGGTTCTGATTCATTTTCTGTCACCTTTTGCTTCTCATCTGCCCTTGACTGCTTGGAGGGTTTCATCTGTTATGCACTGAGGCTTCTCTTTATCTTTGGCTGCAGATGGCATCCCTTTGCTTGCCTTCCTGACAATGTTCCTGGCTTCAGTCCAGAGTTTTAGTACCTGAGTGACTGGGAAGGAAGGAGGAAACAAATACCTGTACATATACCGCCTGGGGAGTATTTACAAGTTGAAGCAACCTATAAAGTCTTGCAAAACTTAGTAAGCTGCTGTTTTACTAAGCTGCACAGCCTAATTGTAAAGCTGAGATCACCAAACATGGAGAATGCATACCCTCATCTCCCACCTGGAAAGCTAGAGAAAAGAGCCAGAGTCTGATATCTGACAACTCTAGTTAAATACTAAAAACAATTGGACGTTTCATCTCAAAGCATTAGGTTTTTCTGCCTGCATTTCAGACAAATCCCTAGAAAAACACCCAAGTTTTCATCTCCATCCACGCCAGAGGCAAAACAAGAAACCTTGACATGTAATTCATTATCTAAAGTCAGAAAAGTCGGCACATAAGACCCTCAAACAACTCTTCTTTAGTAAGAATTTTTTCATGTCAGAATCGATTTTTTTTATTTATTTATTTATTTATTTATTTATTTATTTATTTATTTACAGCTTTTATATTCCGCCCTTCTCACCCCGCAGAGGACTCAGGGCGGATTAGTGTACACATATATGGCAAACATTCATTGCCAATTTTAACATACAACATAAACAGACGTACACAGAGGCTATTTAACTTTTTCTGGCCGCCAGGGAAGCTGTCGCTTTAATCGTCCATCTGCAATGCTGATGAAGTACTTCTGCATTCCCCGCATGCTTCCCCGCTGGAATGCTTTGCTGGAGTCTTCTTTATGGCCTCATAAATCAGTTAATTTAGCCTCCCCACACTTTAAGGTGGTACCTTATTTTCCTACTTGACAGATGCAACTGTCTTTCGGGTTGCAAAGGTCGACAACAGGCTACACACAATTGGTTGGAAACCCACTCCAACCCGGGCTGGCTTCGAACTCATGACTTTTTGGTCAGAGTGATCTTAATGCAGCTGACACTCAGCCTGGTGCTTGAGAAACTGCAAGTTGCTTCTGGTGTGAGAGAATTGGTCGTCTGCAAAGACGTTGCCTAGAGGACACCCGGATGTTTTATCATCCTGTGGGAGGCTTCTGTCATATTATCGCATGGGGAGCTGGAGCTAACAGACAGAAACTCACCTCTCTCCCTGGATTTGAACCACCGACCTTTTGGTCAGCAGTCCTGCCGGCATAAGGGTTTAACCCATCGCACCACTGGGGGGCTCCTGGTAAGAAGATGAAAATCAAACAGGTGAAAAGTTGCCATACATTCATAAAATCCCAACTGGCTGCTTGCCATTGCTCCCATACTCTGCTTATTGATGTAGGTGGATTTGTCTCTAATAACATATTTTCAGGGTTTTCTTTCCTATGGTCAGCCCTCTGTGTCCATGGATTTTGCATCCACAGATTTCACTATCCATGGCTTGAAAGGATTCAGAGAAAAATCCCAAAAGGTAAACCTTGATTTTGCCATTTGAGATAAGGCGCATCATTGCTCTATGCACTTGTATATCATGGGACTTGAGCATCCACAGATTTTGGTATCCACATGGGTCCAAGAAGCAAACCTCACCAGATACCAAGGGTCCACTGTACCTTCTAAATGCAGGAAGGTTGAAACAGTTATGCTTTTGTAATTTGGTGTGTTCAGACTCTATTATTTTCAAGGCGTTATCAACTGTTTATACCCAAGGAAAGACTGGATTTGGCTGTTCCTAAATTTAATGGCTACCAGGCAAGTGGGGTGGAGGTGGAAATGCAAGTGGGATGGAAATACAAAGTATGTCACTGCCTCCACGTTTTCTCCCTCTATTTCCCAGTTGTCAATCATTCTTTTTGCCATAATCTTGGTTTTTTTTATGTGTAACTGCAACCCAGCTTTTGCGCTTTCTTCTTTCCCACTGGGAAGGGAATGATTCCACCCTTTTCTCACCCATCCCTTTGCTGAGTTAACTGAGTGCAAATTGCATTTGCATTTTGAACTTGTGTTTGCAGTGACAGAATAAGATGAGAACAAAGGGGGAAGGTGGGAGGAGGAGATAAAAACTGGGACTGAAAATATAAAAGACAGAGGATTAATTGGGACTGTCCCTCCAAATTTGGACAGTTTGAAAGGTATGGAAACAGCTACCTCAGGCAGAAGTACCTTTAGTGCATTCACAGTTGCTGGTTTTATGCTGTCTTCCCACCCAAAGAAAAACAGAGATATTTTGTTGTGTGTCTTGAGATTGTCTCCCACTTAGTCTTTCGAGGGGTGGGGATCTCTTGGTATAATTTGTTCCAAGAAGATTTACCCTTGCTTTCCACTGAGAATGTGACCCACCCAAAGTCACCCAAAGAGTTCCATGGCTGAGCTGTGATCAAATCCTGGTCTCAAGAGTTGGGGTTCAACACTTTAAAAACGACACCACGCTACCTCTGCAAAATCAGATATTGTTGTTGTTGCTGTTGTTCATTTGTTTGGTCATTTCCGACTCTTAGTGACCTCACGGACCAGTCCACGCCAGAGCTCCCTGTCAGCTGTCACCACCCCCCGCTCCTTCAAGGTCAGTCCAGTCACTTAAAGAATGCCATCCATCCATCTTGCCCTTGGTCAGCCCCTCTTCCTTTTTCCTTCCACTTTCCCCAGCATAATTGTCTTCTCTAAGCTTTCCTGTCTTCTCATGAGGTGGCCAAAGTACTTCATCTTGGCCTCTACTATCCTTCCCTCCTATAAGCAGTCGGGCTTTATTTCCTGAAGTATGGACTTGTTGGATCTTATCGCGGTCCAAGGCACTCTCAGAACCTTCCTCCAGCACCACAGTTCAAAAGCATCTATCTTCCTTTGCTCAGCCTTCCCTGTGGTCCAGCTCTCTCATCCGTAGGTGACTATGGGGAATACCATTGCTCTAACTATGCGGATCTTTATTGCCAGTGTGATGTCTCTACTCTTCACTATTTTATCAAGATTGGACATTGCTCTCCTCCCAAGAAGTAAGCATCTCCTGATTTCCTGGCTGCAGTCTGCGTCTGCAGTAATCTTTGCACCTAGAAATACAAAATCTGTCTGCCTCCACGTTTTCTCCCTCTATTTCCAAGTTGTCAATAATTCTTGTTGCCATAATCTTGGTTTTTTGGATGTTTAACTGCAACCCAGCTTTTGCGCTTTCTTCTTTCACCTTGATTAGACGGCTCCTCAGCTCCTCCTCGCTTTCAGCCATCAGAGTGGTGTCATCTGCATACCTAAGGTTGTTAATGTTTCTTCCAGCATTTTTTACCCCAGCCTTGCATTCGTCAAGCCTCGCACATCACATGGTGTGTTCTGCATACAAGTTGAATAGGTTGGGTTCTAATTTCCAACATTAACAACCAATTCTACCCAGAGATGATGGAAATTGTAGCGTAACACAGCTGGAAGGCAGATATATTGGTCTTTAAATTCAGCTCCTTTCAGACAGGAAATAGGAGTTTTTCAGGCATTTGTGAACTGCAGCTCCAATCATTCCTCATCAAACCATGGCTGTCAGAAGGTGCACTCCGATAGTGCCTGGAAA